CACAAACCACACACACACACACAAAAAACTTCAATCCACTTTACGACCTATTTTGGTATCTGCTTTAACTTGCTTTAAAACAAATGTCAAAAATGTCCTTTACAGATTTGCTTGAATGTGTTTACAGATTTGCAACAACCCTATTTTGTACAGTTTGCTTACTTTCTGATTCAACTCCCTGCCATTTGAACTGTGTTTAGTGGATGTAAATATAGTTTGCGTGAGCTTTTAGTCAAGATTCTCAGCTTTTTATTGATACCAAACATGTCAAGATTCAACTTAGAAGTTAAAACATATAGAAAATGGGAAATTCTGGTTTGCCCCYGGTACCGGGAGCATGGGGCTCAAGAGGTTAAAGTCAAAATGTTGAGAAAAACATTCAGATATTTCAAGATTAAGTGAACAAAAAACGTGGATACTTCAGACTCAAACCTCTCTCTGTAGGTGGGTGATGGACGTTTTTACAGGGAGTCCTCAAAATGTGCATGATGGCAGTAACACCTCCAAGACCACTGACCACAAGGGTCCCTTAAGGATAAATGCTCAGCCTAAAGCACTTTACCATGACTGTGTTACCTACAGTACCAAACATATCATGTCCATCCCTCAATCATGTGCTCATTTTATCTGGGAACCACTAACATACRTGTCAAGTTGTACTGATTGTCYATAAATTAYGCAGATTTTCCTCCAYTAAGAGTGTTCTCACTTGCWACAACACAAAACTCTTCCAACCAGGACTTTGATGCCTTCTAGTCGTCTCCATGTCTTAGATTGAAAATTWCATAAAGTTGATCACTAAATTGAGAATATCTGTCAAGTTTTGAAAACAGTATGAGGGAGATGCATATTTGTTCCACTCTCACATAAGAWCCCTTATTTTATTATTCTTTAGGACACCAACAGACACAATGGGACTCCTTCAGTTTGATGGTCTCCGTCGCCCAGGCTGTCCACCAGCAGGTTTGAGGAGGGCTGCCACAAATCAGGGCATCTGCCTCAACAATGGAGGTGTGAAACATGTCCTCCACAAACCAGATCCACCAGGTCTGTCTGACATCTGACACGAACATCAGCTGATAGTTTGGCTCCTCTCTACACCCGAGTGTCAAAACATACGGTTGCAGATCAGATGACACGACTACAAAGTCTAGTACTAAGCCTAGTACTAAATCTACTAACTTCTCCTCATCAACACAAAACGTTTTATTCATAATGTTTTTTGAGTGACAAGTTATCATGTTTACTTCGTTTTCTAATACTTTGCAAAGAAATACTAATGTAAAGAAAAAGCCAACAGATGAGGGATGTTTCTCACCCATCTGCTCCACAATGTCAGGAGGGAAAACTCGAGAAGCAAAGGCTCTGCGGAAAATATCAGAGAATTCCTTGTCCAGACCTCCRATTCCCATTTTCTCAAAGTTCCAGTCTGGGTTGATAATTGTCTGTCGGGCCTCTTTGGTCTTTGCCTTACCTGTTTAAGGAAGAAAAGTCGGTTACTTTTCGAACAAATGCCTGATGAAATATCAAAAGACAAAAAGAATAAAGTAAATTGTTAAATGAAGTTTYGTTAAATGAAGAATTTCAAAACAAAATCCAAAACAAAACGCCTCCCCATTTTTTTCTGTTTGTTTTTGTATTTCTCTGAGCACATAAATCTGTTTAATTCAATCTGTAGAATCTGTTTCTGCTGACATCTTATGGACCAAACAGACACAAGCGCATCACGTGATGAAACTTCTGTTGGTTATGCAGCAGCCAGAGTTGTAAATAATAATTGCTCAAAACTGAAACATCTAAGCTTGTCAAAACAAGGAATTTAAAATAAAATCAAGGCTTTTCAAAAAATGAACTCGATCGTCTGTGAAAGGACAAACAGAACTCACCAACTAACGTGAGAGAGGAATTCTCTGCCTTTTCAAAAATCACCTGGCTGTTTCCCACCATCAGACCAACGTCGATCTGTCAGGGAAAAAAAATCAGATAAAAATTGAATAAAAACCAGATTTTTTAATGGATATTTTAAATTGTATACAGAAAATAATCTTTCTTCATACAACTATGTCATTTTGAAAATATTTCCACAATAATGTAGAATTGTGACTGTGACTGTGTGATGACGCTTGAATATATTTTCCATGATTTGGGGTCATAAATTTTGCTGCAATAACAACTAAGGAATAARCAATGCGGCTGATACTTCCTCCTTTTCTTAAAAGGCCCTTTTTCATAGCTGATGGAGAGATCCACTTCTGTTCCTCTTGGTGCATAAAGATCAGCACAAACTGTCTGCTGTAGTTCTCCTTTTCTTTGACACAATTTAAAATCGTTTCACATTTATTTACCTTTTCAGCACATGATCAAGTTTATTGGTGACATCATCAGAATAAAGTGAAACAGATGTAGGAAACTGTTGAAGTGGCTCCATAATTTTGACCAACAGTCTCCTCACTTTGGAACATCTGGATCTGTCCAGTCGATTTCCTAAAATCTTGTTTGYTCTCAGCATGTATTAATTTGTGTGTGAACAAGAGGTGCAAAGCTTTACTTTTTAAAAACATATATATGTGTTGTAATGTATTCAGGGTTAGGTAGGTAAGTTATTCCATGACTTCACCGTAAGACTTCCACAAAGATCAGGCCAAACTGATATTTATCTACACATCCTGAGTTTATGCTGCTAAATTCACATGCAGAWAATTCCCACTCTCCTTCCACCTGAGGGCTGTGAGGGTTTTAATTTGCACGTGGACGAGAGGTAACAATGTAGCAGAAAAATCTGTGGAATTGAATATAGCTACATAAACAGAGCATCTGCCTATAGATTGAAACTTCACACTCTTCAGTTTTCAATTGAGACAGCTCCCTGGAATAAAATCAAAATGAATCTAGTTTCTTTGATTTGAAACTTGTAATATTTAACAGAATTAGTTAATTCGGTCTGACTCCCACATTTATGATGGATTTATTGCACAATCTAGCAATTCAAGGATGGAATCAGTGTGGAAACCAATGAGAGCTGTGTGAATCTGCGTCTTGTGTGTTTTGTGTTTGTGCTCTGCCTCCCTCTGGTGTCTGTCTTTTATCATCATCTCCTCCTCAGAGTTCTCTGCCTCCTTCTAGTCAGTCGTTCACATCTGTCCTCACTTGTAATCACTCAGCTGTTTCCACTTCTACTCATCCTAGTTCTGTATTTAACCAGCCACTCTTCAGCACTTCAGTATTAGGTCATTGGGCCGTTTTCTGTCTTGTTTTCCCCCAGTGCTCTTCTGCTCGTTGGTTTGTTTTTTGCCACCCCGCCGGCTTTTACGTTTTGTAAAGTCTTTTAACTTGAACCTGCCGGTCTGCATTTGGATCCATCCTGTTACCCAAACACGTTAGGAGCGATGTGTGTGACAGACAAATCTGCATACACTGTAAACTGGGGGTTAGTC